CAATTCAACAAAACTGAATGTTGAAATCGAAGAGGTAGTGATTTTTAAACACACTATCTTTAACAAGAGCAGGACACCAAATTTCTCCCTACACCCCTTTAGGTGGTATTTAAATTCTTAAAGTGGATTTGTCACCACAGAGAAAGATAAAGTGAGTTGCAGCTAGTGCGCAGATCCATGCACGCAAGTAGAAGTGAACACTTTTTCACACAATGATTACAGTGAAGACCTGTAAGAATGGACTCTGGGTAAGCAAGCTCTCAAAAATCGAAAGTCTTTGGTAAAACATCTACAAGCTTAGGGTTAGAGCAAAAGGAAAATCAAAATTAAATTGCAATCACAATCTTGGTAAAACAATTATTGCAATTTAGATTATTGCCGAAGTTGTTCAGTCCTAACATATACCTCAAATTACGTAAATACTATAATCGAAAGTTACGCAGTGCTGCTTTAATGAAAGAGTAAAACTAACTGTTTCATAATACGTTCAGTTCCACTCATTTCATTGAATGGTTTTAAAAGCACCTTAACATACATTTAGATATTTTAACAACACTAAACCTCTAATGTTTCTTAACTATAAAAAGGAACAAACATGTCTCCATATTTCTTCAACAAAGAAGGATTGGTACATGTTTAGAGATAAATATCTCATGATGCTGACCACACCCTTCTTCCTGTCCTCCATCAACCTAGAAATGATCTTGACTTAAAGCAAACTGCTTCCTTATATCATAACTGTCTGCACCCCCCTTATCATCCTCAGCTCAGTTCTCAGGCAGCAACACATCATCACCATTGTCACTATCATCATAACTGGATTTTCCTGGACTATTTTATAGTATTTACTATTTTTGTTATCTGTACTTGTGGTCTTAAACAAAATAAACCATAATTTGGATTAAACCAGACTACACCTAATGTTTACAATGATGTATACTTTCAAAAACTAACTTAAAGGTAAACCTAAACTAAACTATAATGACACCAAAAAGCCCAAATTAATATTCAATAAACAACCACTTGATGTAAGGAATCCATTTAGCAATGCATAACATCAACAGTGTTGGACATGGTTGTAATTTTCTACTTATTTGAAACAAAATGATCATAACTAAAATAATATTACTTATGTACTCTTGCATGTGATCTTTATTTTACCTGCAACTTTTCTAGAATCCTAGGATTTAGAGGATGTTGAACCTGTGGTCAGCAAGTGTGACTGTGTGTCGGCCAACTTGGATTCAGAATAGGTTCACTTGTAGTTAACAAATAGATTAACTCAAACTTAACCAAATAAAAGGGGCTTCTTCAGTGCATCTAGTGCATCATAGTTTTAAGCTCTTAAATGCATGACATGTGTCTGGACATCAGAGGCAGCACTGAACTTTTGCAGCGCCTCAACCAATCAGAAATGATTCAGGGGCTAGCCACATCATTCAAGCTGTTGTTTCTCCTCCTGCAAAGCTGTATGTTTACTTTCAGCCCGTACAAACAGCAGCAGGAAATCTCAGAGTGCCTGGATCTTTTTAAGGCAGCTGGGGATTTAACTAGCCTAGCATCCAGATTCTTCTTTAGGCGGGGCTCTACTGCTCAACAACAGAATATTCTAAAGTCTGATTGTAACATGAAAAACTGACTGCACAGATGATGTTTTGATGTGTAAAGCGATTTCTCCCATTCATTAAAGCAAATTAAGGCAAGACACAAAAGAGACAGGTAAAGGACAGTGTAGCTCCTCCCAATGCAAGTGAGACATGTCTATCCGCAGTTTGCTTCAGACTTCAAGAGTGCTGTGACATTAACAGACCTAAGTCTGACTTGAACTGGGCAAGAGTTCTAGTGGGATAGCAGTAGACACCTGTCTCCTGTAGTGACCTATACCCGCCAGAGGTTAAAGAGTGCAGGGATGATCGGCTTTACACCACTACATCCACCCAATGAATCGCCATGATGATGTAAAGCTTGGATGTAGCTGTGTTATCTGGGGTAAGTTCAAACGTCACGTCAAGTTTAGAGGAGTGTAGCTCCTGATCTTTCAGAAACCGGATGATTTCAGCAAACCATCAATCCTCTTTGTAATTTTACAGAGTATTTATGGTCTGAATTGTTACACCGTGTTATAAAACTACTCGGTTCAGTGTGGAAAATTCGGGGGAAGGACAGTTTTAGAAATTGACTTATTGCCTAGATGGCATCTTTTCAGATTATCATGTTAGGATTCACTGAGTTCCTGAGACTGACCGATGGTTTCTTATTTTTTTGTGGAAGCAGTTTGAACGCTGTTTCCCTGAAAAACAAAATCAATAATTTGGTGGGTCAACTATGTTCTTTTTATTTTCACTTTTGCAATCTGGTTGCATTGATTTCTTGGTGGTTGCCAGCTTGTGTGGAAATGTCTGCAGGTACTGATGGGATGTCAGTACTTTAACCTAGAGGTCAGAATGTTCCGTCTAACATGCTGCAGACTAACAGGTCCACCTGAGAAGCCTTTCGCTCGCTCCAGCTGTGTGCAGGTAGGATGCCAGCCTCCAGCTTTCCAGTGGGTTCTTCATTGGCATTCCACTCATGAAACCTTCAGCGTGGGGCCGTGAATGAGCGGCGCTCCGTTGCCAGGGAAACAACGGAGCTGGTTATGTGGTGAATGAGGCTATGGCTGAGCGGCGGCAGGTGGGATTGGGGCTGTGATGTTTCTGCTAATGCCTCACCGGGAGACAGAGGAAAGACAGTAGCACAGGATTTCCGGCATGTAGACGTGCATATGACCGTGTGTTTTCTGGAGTTTGATCGCTGTACTTTGACATTCCTTCTAATTAAACTTGGTTTGTCTCCTGATTATTCACAAGGGTATTTAGTCAGTCACATCACAGGGTTCACTTTGTTGCAATGTGATTTTTCCATGTAGAAAATCCTCCACTTTATGGTTAATTCATTCTGTGTGGCTGATCAGGCTTTGAACAGGAAGGAGTGTGTCTTCTTTCATCTAGAGTCAGGTCATTTCAAGGATGTAACTGCTCATATGTTATTTATACAGCTCTGTATCATGTAAAATTCAACACTTTATTTGCCTGGAGATGGGCTTATTGAAACCCTTAGAGGTTCTGATAAAGAAACCTTTCATTATTCATGTAGTTTGGGCCTTAATTAAAGTGGCTTCAGAAATTAACTCTACAGAAAGCCAGAGGTGCTAAGCTATAAAATATAAATACTGGTTGATTACAATAAATTAAAACATTATTAGTAAATGTGTTTATTACAGTAACTTAGGTTGACTATATTCATAAAACAACTGAATAATATATCCATTACACCATTTAAATAAATATGCTGTAAGCCTATAAGTTATTGCCTGTATTTATTTACAAGGTAACAAGAGAGACTTAAAGAAATTAAAACAGCTAACACGCCTATATCTAATTGATTAAACGTTTTTAACTAATCTTGATTGAAGGATCACAAGCTCCGCCCACTGGCCTTGACATACTAGGCTTGCAGATCAAATAATCTCTTTTAAGATAGATATTTAAAATTATATAAGTATAAAACTGTTAAAAGTTTTATTTTTTATCATTTTAAATAAACAGTTTTTTGTTGTTTTTTGCCTTCAGTGTAAGGTATATGATTTAAACATAACTACATTTTTCTACACACGTTCTAGAAATGTTTTTTTATGCCCAAGGAAGAGCAAAAACAAGCCTTTATCGGTTTAGCTTAATAATGTGTTCAGGGTTACGTCAAATAATGGCAGCTAACTGACTTCTTACTGGTAGAGCAGGGTCAGTGATGGGACAGTCTCTGCAGAGACCCAGACAACCCCTGCCTCACAATGTTAACGGGTCACAAAGGCAGGTGAAACAAAGTGCTGTGACGCTCATTAAGTCTGCCAGGAACCGGATCCCGTAGGCTTTACTAGCTGTTATCATACTATAATGGGGAACACAGCTTCACAGGGGTTCACACAGAGCTTAAGGTACGCATTGACCTCAAGAGTAGGGTTATCTTTAACGGCCTGTGGTGGAGATGGGAATATGAATCATCTTTCTCTCAGCATGATCAAAGTTTAATTTCTAAGCTTTATTCTCTTCATGTGTGATTCTCCCAAGAAGGCCATGGAGCATCTGCAGGTTAACCGGTGTCACGGTAACATGGTTAAACTTACGGTAGATCTCCAGCACAACCGACGCCTCCTCTGTGTGACCGCTGGCATCGGTGGCTTGACAGCGGTAGATTCCCGCGTCCTCGATGATGGCGTTGTAGATGACGAGCCGCGATCGGGACCCCTCGGTCTGCAGCGACATGCGTTTGGAACTCACCATGCGATCACCCAGGGGGTTGAACCACTCGATTTCTACCGGCTCACCAATAGCTGAGGGCAGAGAGTGAGAAGAGGAAAGATTAAGACTGTGATTTCACTCACTAAGTAAAAAGATGAAAAAACACAAAGATAAAAATCTTTTGCTTTAGTCTTTTGAACTAACTTTACTGTAGATCAGAAAGTTTAATGTAGGTTACATCACAAAGAAAGTCCCCCCTAAAGTGAAAAGACTACAATGGGGTTATAACAATGTTTAAAAATTCTTGGAATACATGTTAAATGGTGCAAAAACACATACTTCCACTTAAAAAGATTAAGCCGAAATATAAAATCTGTGGTTAAACAGTTGAGCACACTTTAAGCCATTTAGATTAGGTCATTTACTGTATTAATCAGAGAAAAGCCAGGTGTCTGCTGTTCTTCACAACATTTCCTAATTTTAGTAATTGTAACATTGTCATGATCCATTCAAAACACAAGTGGACTAAAGGCATTTTGCAAAGAGAAAGAAAACTTAATGTAATTATGTAGACCTTTGATCCCCAAACGCAAATATTGACGACCCCAACCAGACAACCAGATATTATTTTTGACATTCAATAATTCATTACATTATTTAAGGGTTGCAATAAAATAAACAAAACTTTCAATTAACAAAACCGCAAACCATGATATCACAACAGTATATAACATTAGTATTAACATGTTTGTCAAAAAAAAAGCCCTTATGGGGCCAAAACCATAAACTCCCTGAAAGGAAAAGTAACTTGTATGGGACTGCCAATCTTCTCAAATATTGATTTTGGTTGTGAGGTTGCCATTTTATGTGCATTTTCAATGTCTATTTGTGATGCTTATTTAGTCTTGAATGATAATAAATGTCACAAAGGTCATCTTTTGTAGAAAGGGCTTTCTTAAGTAGCAATGGTTTATTGTCCTCCAATCCATAAAGCAGCCATTGTCTTTAACTTAAACTGTAGTCTTACTGTTGAACTAGAGCCAACATCAATGAACTGTTCTTTGATGTGCTGACATTTCCAGGTGGTTTAAACTGAAGGGGTCAAGGACAAAGAAATGTTTTGGGAAACATTTCTAGAGGAGATAGATGTCCACTTGCATGCATTAGATCACTGTGTTCTACAGCTTTTGTCTTAAATGAGTAATTGCAAGTTCTCAAATGAATCATTACTGACGCTGCTCTTACAAATTCTCTGATAAATTATGTGATTTTTATTTGCCAGATGTGGGAGGGTGTGTGTTGGTCTTTTTGACCTGTCAAGGCAGTTCATTTAGTTTTAAAAAACATGCCGCTAAGGTAAATGTGCCAGTAAGTCCAGTGCCTTCTTCCTTCAAACAGATGTGAATCTCATCTCGCAGCTTAACCCTGGACAGCACCTTCCTAAGAGACAGTCATCGGTACTCCCCGTGTACCCAGACCCCTTTTACTTGCAAAGGGCTACACAAATCTGAGCATTGACATGTTGCTATAAGATTGGCCACAGCTTCATTAAGCTGGTAACTTATAGTAGTAGCCATTCAAAATTTCCCTACTTTCCTTGATGGGTCCTTGGCTGGTCCTTGGCTAGTCCCCTACAATTCGTTTTTAAACATGTAAAATATTCTGTCATGATTTGTGGACATTAAGATCTAAAGAGAAATGTTATCTACTGGTCAGACCCTTTCAGTGAAAGGGTGGAGTCAGAGTAAAAAAATATGCACACCCATGAGAAGGCCAGTGGCTGGAAGTTGAAGGGGATTTTATTGCCATTCGGCAGGCTTTTGACTGGGAAGGGCAATTTTGAATGTATTTAAACACCAGTGCTTTACTGTGCATCATGCAGTTTCCTCAATTTTTGTGTAGTTACTCTGGGTGAGCGGCCTCCTCCTCCCCTTTTCCTGGCTATAGCCTGCAACCCATCTGTGGATACCCCTCCCATTATAGATAAGCATCTCTAATGTCAAGTCAGTGATTTTAAATAGTTTTTCTGAAATGGCTCTTCCAGGAACTTGTTTGCAGAAAAGCAACTCCTCACTCATATTATTGCCTTCTGTGAATCTTTTGTCATTTATCAGTGAGCAGTCTCTTTTACAGTCAGTGGGTTCATCCATCTGCAGGGCCAAGCTGCTGTCTCGCACCTTGTCATTAAGTTACTCCACTATGTTATTTGAAATGGCATTAAAGTGCCTGCTGATACTAGTATTGGACATAGAAATAGCCATAGTTTGCTGGCTGCTCTTTCATTAGTCATAGTTGAAACCATGCCCATAGAAAGGGCAGGTATTAATTCTTCTAGGATTTTATATGAGCTCAGTTGAGCATTTGACAGTGCAGATGTAGCTTAATTAAAAGCAAGGAACAGCAGTTTCCAAGTTTTTGTTGAAAAAAAATAAAAGATCACCTGCTTTATGTTCCATCTGATCTTGCAAGGCTTTAAAAGAGCTAGCTGTTTAAGATACAGTGACCAGACGTCCCTGATTTCTGAGGACAGTCCCCGTTTAGGACCACCTGTCCTCAGCTAAAGCTGTCCACGGGAATGTCCCCGATTCTACCGTTTAATGAATGAGGGGGAAAATGTTGCGTGTAGACTGTTATTACGGTAAAAGAGCGTAGGAGCACAGTAACCAGTGTTACCTAGCTGGTTGGCAGCTGTTAAATTATAGATAAGGAGCAGAGCGCGCCACTTTTAAAATAGACGAGTAAGTTCTTTATCAGAACCGTTCTCAGCTGCCCTGTGTTATTGTAAATGTGTTAATCGGCTCATTTGATTGGATTTATATTGGACTGATTATTGTTATAAATGTTTGATTCGTGCCCAGTTAATAAAAAAAGGAGGCTTTAATGTGTTTTTTTTAGTACAAATGAGGACCGGAAATGTAACATAAACCAAGCTAATCAACAAAAAGTAAGGCTGCAGCTGTCATGAGTAAATCGATTTTGATTAAATTAATCAGATTGATTGAAAACTCCTTGTAACGCGCTAATCTGGTTGGGTGGTTCTACAAGGATCAACAAGGGTTCATCTAAAGATGTTTTTAGAACTGATTGGTCATCTTTGGTTTATATCATCAGATAGTTATTTTAATTAGAGTTATAAGTTATTTGGCTGTTTTTTTTAAACTGGATTTTTGCTGATTAAATATTAATAAATAGGAGAAAAAAAATGGATGAAAGCATCACAGTCCCCTTTTCTTATTTTAATTTTTATGATATGTATTTATTTTCTTCTACAAGCTGGAAATGTCCCCAGATTAGATTACAGTAATCTGATCACCTTACTTTAAGACTGAAAACATACTGCAGCCTTTCCTCATTACTCATCTTTGTGAATATTAATGTAATGACCAGATATGCTTCGGAAGCTGTTTTAGATAATCATTTTATGATTATTTATCTTTTTCATAGTTTTGTGGGAGCCGCCTTCCCTGCCCTTCCCAGCCATTTTTAAAAACCTCTGCTGTACAGTAGACAGATTAAAAGTCGGCGACATGCATTTCAAATAGACCCTTTCAATCAAACTGTGGAGTCAGGTTATTTTGAATTTAATGACATTTTTTTTATCAATTGAAACACAGCAGATAGCATTAAATCATTGACTTGAAGCATTCACTCTTCTCATTCAGTCACTTGCATTGGATCACTGAGTATGCAGCAATTGCTCATGTTGCACATGGATGCAGGGTTGGATTTAGGAATTTTGAGGCAAAAACAGGCAGGGGGCCCTATGAATTGAGAAGACAACACATAAAACACACCCATTACATTAATAGTTCTATGTTTTCTATCTCTTCTTGTCCCTTTTCTTGTTGCTTTCCTCTCTATGTTTTGTACTCAGCTGACTTTCATGCGGTCTCAAAAAGAAATGAAAGATTTTTTCCACTCACTAAGATTACTTAGCCGATTTCTCCTTCCTATATTCCCAAAAAGGCGATGGCAAACGTAATAATAAGAGACACACTTAAGATTATAAGCATTCTGATGTCATTGTAGAGAGAGGAATTTTATCAAAAACATAATTAATGTGCACAAATAAGGAATTATTGTATTAACTATACAAGTAAACAGAGTTTTACTGTATGGGCCCCCCAGTAACTTGGGTCCCTAGGCAACTTCCTAGTATGACCTAATGGTAAATCCCCCTCTCCATGGATGTAGACGGTGGAAATAGAGGAAGCTTTCTTGAATTCTTCTGAAAGACACATATATATGTTTTTTCTTTTTCCTACAGAGTAGTGCTCTGCAAGAAACCATGATGGCAGATGTGGCTGATGATCTAAGCTTAGGGAGGAGGGAGAGGGACTAGCAATCTCAGCCTTTGATGTGGTGTTGGTGGCCCATTAGAGATCCTTAGACATGGACACAAGGGAACAAAAGACCCCTTTATCCACCACAGCTCTAGCAGAACCTTGCTTTGGGTATTTTCTCCTGAAATCTTCTCTGTCTTATCTACCATCAGAGAGAAATGGCTGTGGCTGCACCACTGGGACAAATAACCAGCTTTTCTCCTGTCATGGGTCTCATCCTCCAATAGTGGAGACGGCACACTTGATCAACAGTTCAAGATGTGCAAGAGTTTAAGATCAAAGGGACGACAGTGTGAAAAGGGAGAGGACAGCATATATCCCTGTTTGGGGTTACCTTTTTTAGTATGATGATGTTGTTGCCAACCTGTTTTGCTTGTGGTCTACCAAAGAAGAAACAGAGAAACCAGCTATACAGCTGGTATTTATCCCAATCAATCAAATGTGAGTATCACTCATTAGGGGATGATTGAATTCAATGTTTTGTTAAGGGCAGCTAACATGGCGCCATCAGTCAAGTGGCTAGACCAAAACCCAAATTGGAAGGGATCAAATGTGAGGGAGAAGTCAGTCCAAACTTACTATGCCAATGTGTGGGAAGACTGGAAGCTGATGTCTGACTAAATGTATGCATAACACATTACTTGGGAATACATCTTTATATTTTCCTAGATTGATAGGAAGTGGCAATCACTTCTTGAAGGTGATTACGGGGTCTTTCTGCCCTGCCCTTGTGTGAACACAAATCTGCA